TGCCATGCATATAAGTTGAGCTTGAGGATGTTCCTTTTGGATTTCATATTATAAAACAAACGTATGGTTGAAAAAAGTTTGGTTTGAACACTTTGGAATTGATGGTATAGATGTCAGGTCAATGGATGCTTTGGTAGTATGCCCCTTCCATGAGATTGGTATTCCAATTTGAATATCTCATTCTAATCCTTCCATGAGATAAATAATGAAATTTATTTATCCCTGTCTATCTTCCCTTATATTTGGTTAAAAAGAGAATAAATGGGAGATGGAATCTTGCAAATGGGAATCACAAAGTTAATAAGCAGGTTATATGTGGGATTTAGATTGTATTGTGTGTAAATAATTCTTCCTTAGACCTCAATCTATGTTGCAGTTTCTTTTATTCTCCACTTTTTATCTTTAGTTACTATTCATACACTTGATGAGCTGTTAATGGTCTGTGTCAAATTGGTAAACTTTTCAATAGATTAGATTTATTAAGTGTTGAATAGTTGTTTATGGTATTCTCCATAGTTTGTCTTCTACGTTTTCTCTACACTGTCAACTTCTCCTAACATACTAAACATAACCCCTTCCTTTCATTGGAAGCTATTTAAGTGGCTATTAAGCTGAGACTCATGCTAATATTCTTTAATTGTCTTGATTGCAGTATGTCACTACACTTTGGACCTATAATGTTGTTCTGGAGCTGGAAAAAAGTGATATCTAAGATGTGTTGATTCTTGCTTCATATCTATAGTTTATTGTGATAAATTCTAGTGGGATTTTGTTCCCCTTATGGATATGGATAGGTAGAATTGAATGGATTGGCCTACGAAGTTATGAAGTGAGGAAATGTTGAAAGTAGAATGAGTTAGTAGGCATTGCAGTGTACCATGTAGTATCGAGTGAATAATTACACCTTGAGACAATATATACTTATGCAGAGCTAACCTAAATAAAGATAAGATGTTCTCTTTATTGGATACAAATTATTCAGATTCAAAGCCTTTTAAAAATGAAATGATAAAAATGATAAAAGGTCTAATATTTTCTGGACTTTGATAGTGTTATTTGCAGAGTTTTTTGTGTTTTCTGCAGAGGGCAGAAGCCAACTGCAGAATGTTGTCGATGATGAAAATTGAGCTGAAGTTATGTATATTCAAATGCCACAAATTTTAATATACCTTTGTCAACTAAAAGACTGTCAATATTGTGATGGGACGACCAACCTCATCTTTAGGACCTTTTAGCTGTTGTTAGTATACTTTTTTGTTAATTGATTGATATCTTTAGTGTCAATTTTGTTGGGGATAGTTAATTAGTGAATTTAGTTGCTTAATCAATTAGGAAATTTTCTCAACATTCACATGGAACTTATTACTATTAAGGCGAAGGACCATTCATTTTTAAAGTAGAATCCTATTAATGGAATTTTTAATTTCTTGAATATCTCATAGTGCACTTCTTAATCTTATTTTCTCCCAGTGTTTTAAGGGTTTAGTTGTTTGCATATGGTACACTGTATAACTCAAGGGTTGTTCATTCTCCCATCAAAATCAGTTCAGCTTCAGCTTCAGTGATCGTTCTCATTATATCAACAATCTTTCTCATTATTTCGTGCAACTTAGTATCTTCCATGTTTCATATACTATGAAATTATCCCGTCACATTCCAGTGCCATCTTTTCAATTTCTATTATCTATAAGACTATAACCTTAAGAATTTTGAATTGAGTATCGTATATTGGGATTGTTATGGAAGGTCTTATATATATTAAGGATAATTCACTTACATTTTGTTGGGATGACCAAAGTTCAAATACTATGTTCAATTTTGAATCAGGCTATAATTCCTACGGTTACAAAGAAGACAATACGCTTTGATTAGTTTTGTTAATTCGTAGTTACATACCAAAATAAATTGTCCATATCAAAAGCACTAGAATTTGGAGTTTCCACTTTGATCGTTGGCACCATACCATGCGCTATATTTTCATACTCAATAATTCAATCCCATATTATTTTTGGTATTTCTAAAGATAAAAAATTTAAATCATTTGTTTGATCTCTAAGAATGTTCAAAGAATTTAAGAAAGGTGAACGTCTTTAACGATAATTGATTGGTATTTTTTCCTCGACAACCTGCTGCATAGCGCATGAGAACCAAACCTGAGAACCAGTTCGAAATTGGATAAATGTTGGAATCAGTTCGAGGTATCTCCTTTGGAGGTCTGTAACTTCATTTTGGAGACTGTTGAAATGAAGTTGAGACTTGATCGTGGTAGTACAAGTCTAGTAAAGGATAGTGAAGGAGTTGGACGAGAGGAATGAAGCTTGATGGTTATCATACGAGAAGCTTGAAGTTGGTATGAAGGTTATTTGTTTTACTTAGACCACAAGCATCCGAGTTTGGAAGGGATCCTCAAGTTGGTTTCATGTCTTGTTTTCCTTATTAGTGTTGTAGTTATTTTCCTTTCCTAGATAGCATAAAATTTTAGTTTCTTTTGCATATATAAAGGTCGGATTGTAGCTTGTAAAAGGGGAACAGTTTTATTGAGTTTAAACCCTAGTATTCTTCGAGCCAAGCTTGTGAGTTTGTGGACTGATTGGACCAGCCAGACTAGATATAGGTTTGACAACCTTGATTAGATTGTTACATATATTTACATTTACATGCCCAAACTTCTTTTTGTTAAGGTACATTTTTCAAAGTCTTACTACATTACACATTTACCCTGCAAAGTTAAAGACTTAATAGGTGTGTTATTTTAACTAAGATTTAGTTAAATACCATTTTACCCTTCATAATAGAAACATAAGATAACTCTCTTCTTCCTAACGAATTCATGGGAGGGACAGTTTGGGTAAACAAAATTAACATATAGAAACTATTACCTTAATCAAAAGTAATTTGGTTTGTAGGTGATGTCTTTGGTGCACTCACTTTTTTGGGTGCATTCAATGCACTCGCTTCATAACCGTCATTTTAAACATGCGATTTATGTCAAAATGATGTCAATCATTACTTACGATGCGATGAACAATAACGCACATGAATTTGCACAATAACCATTAAAGATTTACTTCAATTTGAAGGATTTAGAGTTTAGAGATTTAGGGATAGGGTTAAGGTTTACAATTTGGGGTTTAGGGATAGAACTCAAAATTGGAGGTTTAAGGCTTAGGGTAAATCGCTAATTTGTTGTTATCATATGTTATATAATCATATTACACTAATTCTACAAATAAAAATTCAAAATCCGACAATTTAAGACTAGTTTTTGAGTTGGGTGCACTGAACGCATTCATTTTTGTGAGTGCACCGAAGTAGCCACCCTAGTTTGTAATCATATATACCAAAATCAATCTATATGTGATTAAGATGAAACCCTCTTACACTATTCTAGACCAATAATATCTTCAAATTTTTATATAGTGTAAACTTTGTTTTCCCCAAAATGTCGATGCCGATTGACTTTATTTTTAGGGTAAATACAATTTAATATCCACACCTTTTATTTTAAACAATATAATAGACAAACCTTTTCGAAAACAATCTAATATCCAAATCGTCAACTTTCCGTTCGTTTGACCGTTAGTTGACACTTCAAAAAAGCTTTGTTTAGGGGAAATTGTCACAATACACCTTTGTTTTCTTGTTTTGGCATTGCAGATGACTAAATATTTAGATATTGTATACCATCATGGTGGAGTCATGGACTTCTCGGGTTTGGAACTACGATATGTTGGTGGTTTTTCAGAGAAGATATCGATGGATATTGATGAAGTGTCGTACTTCGAACTTTTTTGAAGTGTCAACTAACTGTCAAACAGACAGAAAGTTGACGATTTGGATATTAAATTGTTTTCGAAAAGGTTTGGATATTATATTATTTAAAATGAAAAGTTTGGATATTAAATTGTATTTACTCTTATTTTTAAGAGAATGAATAAAATTTCGTACATAAGAGCTTAAATGATATGCATACTCTAAATGGTGAATGGGAGGAGATAGAGCATACTTGTGGCCACATAGTCGATTGAGTTAGATGTAGATACTTAAGAAACCATGTATATGCACCTATGCCATCAATTTCTGGTCGGTTTTGTGAAAAATCCACTAAATTAAGTTTATTTGAATCAGCTTAGCCATCAAATTAAACTTACCTAGCAACTTAAAACTTGTTTAGACTAAAGACGTAGGGAATAATGGAAGAAATAGTGAAATTATGATGATTTATGAGAAATTTTAGAAAGAAAAAAAATATATGATTAAGGTTCCATGGATGAGTTTTGCATAATTTGCGAGAAAGAAATATTTAGTAAGTGGGTCTAGTTAGATTTGTTCAGAGACTTACTTGAATAAAATTATTCCAACGATTGATAGAAACTTACAAGAAACATCTTTTGGTAACAACAAGGAACCTACTTAAAGTGCTTTCAGCAAGTTTAGCTAATTTATGTTATGTTGCCAACTCTTGTTGTTATAATAACAGATGAAAATAGAACTAAACATGTTTTTACTTTTTAGTCTTTGTTTTTAACTGTGAAAACATAAACCGCAAATAATACCAAATAGAGCTATATAACGATGTGAAATATAATTGACGGGAAATGCTAATATTGTCCAATATCCATGGCTTTAGTGTTGTCATGTCGGTGGGATGTAGTTTGGTTGAATCTGGTATAATCAGTGCCGGTATGAAACCGATTTGAATATCACTGATATGATCTATTCTAGGCCTCTAAACAAAATGAAGCAATCTTAATGAGAATTTAATTAACATAAAATTAATTCGTGATTTTTTCATGAATTTGAAAGTTAAGTGCTTATGTTATTTGTTGGATTCACGTATATACATTTGGATATCGAAGTTAAATATGAGTATTTTTTATTTTGTTTAGAATGTTATATTTTATTTAATATAGATGTAGATTGTAAGTATGTTGTATTAAATATATTTTTTTATAAGATATTAAAGATATTTTATACATGTTTAAACTGACATGAATAAACATAGATCGACTTTATCTCGGTCGAACCATACTAATTGGTAAACGAAGCAACATTATAAACCGGTCGGAACTCGAAAGCGGTCCATTATGCCGCCGTTTCATAGAATCTGAAACTCGGTAAGAAAAACAGCGACTTCTTCATCCTCCCTGCTCGCCATTTCTGATCCAAGCGCCACCCGATTTTCGTTATTCTTCCCCATAATCATCCCCAGATCTCCTCCCAAACCCCTAACAATGGAAGCTTTATCGATTCCCTACGATGAGATCCGTTCCCTCCAGATATCTCTCCGCCAAGACTCCAACTTTTCCTCTTACAATCCGGAAGACACCGCAGATTCAGCTGTCGATTTGCCATCCGCCGGAAACTCGATCTTTGAGCTCGACCCTTCGCCGCCGGAACTCCGTTGCAAGCATTGCAGCGGGGGACTTCTCAGAGGTGCGAACTCGATCATTTGCGTTTTCTGCGGTAGGGAACAGGTTAACAGCGATGCTCCCCCTCAACCAATCAAGTTCATGGCCACATCTGCCTCCAAGTGGCTTCTTCAGTCCCTTGGTTTAGATGGATCGGTTAGTGTTTTTAAATGTTTGATTCCTTTCTTCTTTTGTGTTTCCCCCATTTTTCCTTTTCATGGGTTTGGTTTAGTTTTGCCGCGTTTCTGCTTGTTCACTGAGAAAGTTGGGAATTTTTCTCTGTTTAGCCAATTGATGAATGTAGTTAAGTTTGAAGACCATGATTTGTTTGATTGATTTAAGTCTCTTTGCTATGGTTAGTGGCTCCAAGCATGCGATTAACCAACAGAAATGGGTGCTTATCTTAACTGTTCACTTCATAGTATGAGTTTTCTGTTTGTGGAGTTATCGGATGTATCCGAAGGGACCGTCTGTGGAGTTAGAATTGTGTATATAATGGAGAAAAGAAGTTTAGTGCAGTGGGCAAAAGAGCTTGAGGTGATATGAGATTGATGCTGTTGTTGGAACATTCGCTACAGGAACTTTCGGGACAATCAATTGAAGTTCCACAACAACTGAACAAACGTTCAGATGCATTAGAGACTGAGATTCCATTATCCAAGCTATTGGATCTCGAAATACACTGGCCTTTGGAATCCGAGAGAAAGGAAACAGGAAAAGCAGCATTGGAGAAGACACATAGTCAGAAGTTAAGAACTCTTGATTTCGAGGGACTTGATCTCCAAAGTTGTGTCCCGGAGCCTAAGGCGGCAGAATCAGTTTCTGGATTCCCTAACGACCTCAACTTTTTTCAAGAGGCTAAGGTTGAAGAATCAGTTTATGCATTGGTTGAAGAGCAATCTTTCTCGGGGAGACACGATGATGAGCTGGATTTTTTCCCTGAGCCAAGGTTAGAACCAGCTTCTGCAGCTTCAGAAGATCAGTTTATGTCGAGTAGACCATTCCCGAGTTATGAGAATTCTTCTCAAGGTCCTACTGATCTGAGCTTGTTTGAGAGCGGTGAGCCATCTCGTACTGATAGTAAAGTTGAAGAAGATGGAGGAGGTGATGACTCGTTCGCTGGCTGGGAAACTGAGTTTCAGTCTGCTGATGCTTCTACGACTCAGGAGTCGAAATCGTTTGATCCTTTTGAAGTTTCTTCATCGGTCGATATATCTGCTCACTTAGATTCGGTATTTGGAGGTGGAAGTGAAGTGGCCAAGAGACCAGAAAATGAAAGTTCAATTCCTTCAGCATATAACATAAATGATGATTGGTTTCCAGGTGATTTGTTGAGTAATTCCAATCCAGGAGCAACTGGTCAAACTGAAAGCCAGCTGAATATCCCCATTGTTATTAAGGATGGCGACATCATGGAGAAAACAGATATAATTTCTCCGTTCGATTTGGATTTCATCAAAGATGATCAATTGCGAAAAACCACCACTAACAACACCACAGTTGATGAGGGAGATGATTACTTTGATGACTGGAATGGTTTCACTAGCTCGTCTGGTGTCCAACCAATAGCTGGCAGCTCTTCAAAACAAGACGTGACTCACACTGTGAATTCTGAGATAGACTTGTTTGGTGAAGGCGAGAAATCACAGATTGTTGATTTCGGTGGCTTTCCACAAACTGATCTCTTCTCAGGAATTTCCAACGATGAAAAGGATTCCAAGGAGGTGGATCTTATGTGGCCTGAAACTTCAGCATTACAGAGGTATTGGAAGATTCTATTATATCCCTCTAATCCAGAAAGAAACTACTTTCAATCAATCTGGAACATCATTTATGAACCCATATTGTTGTTGCTTGTCTGTACAGGATCGACATTGGAAGTGCAAGAAATGGGGATAGCACCGAGGTTGCCACAGAAGTCAAAACAGCTGGAGAAGATGCTGTTTCTAGTGAAAATCCGAGATCGAAATCTGAAGTGGTGGAGAAATATATGTCACAGATGCATGATCTCTCATTTATGCTGGACAATGATCTTTCCATACCACAAAAGGGGTTAAGTTCCTCTTAATGTTATCTCTGGTTCTCTGTATTCTAGCTTTAGTGTGTCTTGATATATTCTTGATTTCATTGAAGAGGCAGGGTGTTTTTATTTTTCATCATCCCTTCCCTTCCCCTCATTATATGATTTTGTAAGATGTTTGCTCTGCTATGAGGTAACCCTTTCTCACATTCTGTTCACGACAAATTCACTCCGAATCAAGTTCAACATGAATTTCACTCAGAAATGGGCAATCAAACAGAGAGATTACAACATTTGGTTCATAAAAACAAAGCATTCTACAACATTTTTTCACTGAGAGAAGTCCTGAGTATAACCTTATACTCTGTATTGTATTTATGTAGCATATTGTATTGTGTGGTGTCTCTAATGGTAGACCAACCGGCACGCAAGTTCTCAATGGGCGTGGGTGGTGAACGATTCCTGGTAGCAAGGTTATAGAACAGCTTTTGCAGGCACTGTATTGCAGTAACGTCATCCTACAAAGAAGAAAAAATGACCCATTCTCAGATTTTCCCCATTGATGTTTTACCAAGCCTTTGGGCAATGAAAGTTTGTGTTACAATGAGAAAAATAAAAGCTTCACTTAAATGATGCTGATCAATGCAGAGTCTCTTAATCTGAGGGGAAGCCATGTTACAAGTCCATGGCACGCCCTGCACAACACGATTTTTCACAGTTATCAGACCAGAAACACATTAAAATGCTTAATCTGAAGAATCACTTCCACTGGAAATCTCATTAACAGTTGTTGTTAACTGAAATTGCTGCAAACTACTACTAGACCTTGGGACTTTCGGAGAGCCTCAGGTAACACCAGATGATGTGTTTGAGAAGGCGTTTCGGGGTATCTCTACCGAGCCTCACTTCGTTACTGTTGGCAAGATGTTCGATCATTTTCCGCAGCTGATGGGTCACTGCGAAGAACCGGTCTGCTAAAGCACAGCAGTACCTCAGTCCTTCGTCATTCAGTAAGAGTGTAAACTATGAAGGTTGCCACAGTTTTTGACAGCAGATGATACCCAAACTCCATGCAGTGCAGGCAGCAGGGAAAGTTTTGCAATTCAAGTACAAATCTTGTAGTATGTGGATCATCATGCTGCAATAATAAGGAGCTCAAGGAGAACTTTTAGTCGATTCAGACGTTGTTTTGGCTAATGGATTCTAATCCCGTAGACGCGGTTTAGCAGAAACTTAAGTTACATCTAAGGCATGAGCAACTTAGTTGAGTTAACATGTTTAAACATAAAAATTTGTTTTTTTAACGAATCAATGTAAGAACTTATAAAGAAACATATCAGCATATAAGAATCAGTAGATGTTAGCAGAAGCAATTATTGTTTAGTCATTTAGCATCATATATGTAACTTCTTGATATGACTTCCTAATCATTTGAAGATTGTATAGAAAAGAAAACAATATATGTGTTGAGCGATTGAATGTGAATAAGAATGGCAAAAGAAAACAAATATTTAGTAAGGGTGGGAAACTGTTCAATCTCATTTGGATTTACCCGGTTTCCAATTTTGCTTTTGTGGATTGGAGACCAAACCGTTTTAAAGGGGTTTAACCAAAATCGGACCAACAATTCCAGTTCCATCCGGTCTTTGACCCCAAAACCGAAAGTATTCAGTTCTCACAAAACATTCCCGTCGATAAGAAAATTGATAAATTGAAAATTTGGTCACTGGGTTGATTAAAAAATTTTATTGATCAGTAAATTTTTTTAATTATCCGTGGTCACTGAGATTAGTTTAAAATTCCGAATTTGGTTATTGGTCGTCCAACTTTTTTAACTTTATCTTATGTGGCAGTTAACCCTCATAGTTGACCGCTAAATAAATGAAGTGACAATTAACAAATAATAAAATTTAATCTTTTACCATCTTTATCTCATTTTTATAATAAATTGAAGCAAATAAAACAAACCGAATAAGTATAATTTCCAAACTGAAATTACCCTTTCCTAGAAATCTCGGCCCTTCTGGAACCACCTTCCCAACAATCCCGCCGACCTTGTCAAAATTAGTTGGTCGTAATAACTCGAATTGTTGAGAAAGATTTCATAGTGGATCATATACCAGTAGAGTGGATTTTCTTTTTACCTAAAGGATACTCCCATCTAATTGTAGTTATTTCACGGAATAACACTTGTATATATTGAGCTCGTAATGGTACCTCGTGTACTCACACACCCCCTCAAACGAAAGCCACCATATATGAGCTTGAAGTTTGCACAGGTCCGGACATCATGTGCTTAACGTAAATAGATGAGGGTCATAAAGATTCGAACACAAGACCTATTGGTTGCAGAAGGCTCTGATACAATGTCAAGAACCAGTTGGTCCCAATAACTCGAGTTGTTAGCTATGAGAGGTTACATAGTGGATCATATACTGTGTATTAACAATAGTACTGGACCGACTAGTGTCAACTGTCAACCAAACTCCATCGTTGATTCTGGCTACAACATTGTTTCAAGAAGAAAGCGAATCCAACGTGTCTTTTACTATGAACAACATTGTTCTTAAGGACACAAAAGTTGAAGGTGGCTTGCAGAAGCCACTACAAGGAATTCAATGTCAACGTTCTTCTAGTAAGATATTGAGAATAAGAATCATGGTCGACAATCTATTTACAATCACGCTGAGCATAGAAAACTCGTGTGTGATGGATTGTCAAAGCTACTACAAAGAAGTCAATGTCAACGTGCTTCTTGTTTTTCTTTTTGAAACAACATTATCTCCATTAAATAAGCCTTTTCTTATCAATTTAATTTATGTATCCTTAAATTATAGCTGGAAAATTCTTAGCCCCAAGGTTGGATGGATGGAGAAGCTCCAACCAGCCACATGTTAGTTTCCTATTAATGAGTTAATTTTTTTTATAAATAATTCTTTATTTATTTAGCATAATTAAGAACATTAAATATTAATAAAAAAGGAGGGTAAGTTCACCAATAACAACTGACCTGTGGGATGGTATGGTTGGGGCTTCTGTGTCCAACCAAGTTTGGAGCTAAGAATGAGTGAGTTTGATGCACTTCTTATATCCAATCAATACGTACAAAATTTGATGGTACTAGTTGAACATTAATCCTCTGAAGATGAAGCTCCAATCAAAGAAACAGATTCAAGGAAAGCCGTTTCCAATTCCGCAAACAAGATTAACGAAGAACTCGAAGAATGAAGTGCAATTTCGAATAGATCAACGCAAAGACAAGTTGGATGGACAACTATGGCAATAGTGAGTCTCCACATCTTCTTCGACTCTTGAGATTAACAATAACACTCTTTTTAGCAATTTTAAAGTACCGATAAATTTAGGGTTTAACTCTAATCTGACCACTTCGTACGTAGAAATTTAGTCGCCAAGCCTTTGCCTCTTTGGCGAACTTCCATCGCCGCCGTTATACGCATCTTCTGAACAGTGCTTTTGCAGGTAACTGTTAGCCATGTCCACGAGTCTTCTTCTCCTGTCGTCCGTTACCAAATCGCTCGTTTCTTCTCTAGCGAGACCTAGAACGAGGCTGCCTGTTGATTCTGTGGGGATTTCTTTCCCGTTCTTCCTCTTTTTCAGCTGAGGAGCAGAGTGCTCCTCCTCATCCTTCTCCTTCTTCTTGTTGTTGTTCTTTCCCGTTCTTGTTCTCGTGTTGGTGAGCCGCTTCATGAGAACGTCGTTGTTTTTTCGTCCTTGACATTCGTCGGGCCACCCGTAAGCACCGACGGAGACGGCGGAATCGATGATGTTGGGCACGGCTTTGGATTTGGTCCTGAAAATCGCGGGGCTAGGGAGCGCCATTGTGGTAAGTTGAGGAAAGTAGCTAGGGCAGAACCGAAAGGGTTTATTGAGCGATGAATGGAAGCGCAGTAGTCGACTGTAAAGGCAAAGTGAGATCTTCGGCAGAAGGGTTGAATCGTTTTCAGAAATCAGACACACACACATGATATATGTATATATATATTCGTTAATAGCAAGACTAAGTGGTTTCCTAATCCTACAAGGATTGGTGTTCTATTCCACCTAATTAATTAAGTCGGTCTAGCCTAATCCGAATTTGTAAAATTGAGAGGGGAGCATTGAATTGAGGTGGCCGGAGTGGAGGAATTTTAGTTAATTCAAATACTCGCCTTGTGTTTTTTGAATTCAGGATACAAACAAATTCAAATTTCTTTATTGTATCTTTCACGTTATGATGTCAATGCAGTTTGTAACTGTACCTTTTCATACAAATTATTTTATGATACGAAATGAAATTCTACCTTCAATGTTATGGTACAAGTTCATTTTGTACCTATAGAATTTTCTACCAATTCTTTTATGGTATAAACCAAACGTATATCTTCAACGTTATTTATGATACAAGTTCAAATTGTACATGAAATACCAATACTTTGAAGCATAGTACATGAAACACCAAACGTATATCTTCTTCAGGTACTGAGTTAACCGTTTTAATGTCATTTTTCCAAAACAAGAGGGTTAATTATATTTTATACCATTGTACTATTATAAGTTAACAACCATGAAAACATAAAAAAATTTACTCTTCTGTGCAAAATTCAATCAACTAACTGTTAAATAAGAGCAACAATGTCTAATTTACCCCTCTTTTCTAATTACCAATTTAATTAAGTTTTAGTTCTTTTGTGAATTTATTTATATTTTGTTTCTATCTCTTCCTCCTCTCATCTCATTCCCAAAGTTCATTTCACCCCCCTTGCACTAAAAGAAAATTTGCGGAGCTTCCACACTTTCACCTCTTGTTTTTTAGTGAGAGCTTTTTTCCACTTTGGAGATGAGTTGTGCTAGTTCAAAGCAATCAATTGCAAGAAGTTATGCAAGCGCTCGCAAACTCCATATTCCCCACTGTCGAGAAGCTTTTTGATGCACGTCATTCACCCGCCGCAACTCCAAGCCTTCAATTACCATCTCGTAGCTCTCACTTCAACCACTATTGTCACTCTCGAGCTATATCCTTCCTTCAATGGTGACGTAGAGGTGATTTTGTCAATGGCACCACCGCAGCCAAGACAGCGACGTTGAGTCGGAATTAGGGCTGTCAATCTGGTTTGGTTTGGTTAACTAAACCATTAAGTATGAAAAACCAAAAATCAAAAACCAAATCCCAAAAACCAAAACCATTAAGGCGCTTATTGGTTTTCGGTTGCCAAAAATCAATAAGGGCTTTGATGGTTTTGGTTTGGATAACCAAAAAACCAACATGTACTCGTACACTCATATTTATTCTCATTTTCCTCCTTTTTATTGAATAAACGTCATAATAATGATAAATGGCCATTACAAATTATTGGTTGGCATGCGTGTAAAAAAAACAAAAACAAAAATATTTGTTGATAAATAATTTTGTTCTTATTGGTTTCTTAATGGTTTCTATTCGTTTTTCGGTTTTAACCAAACCAAAACCATTAAGTTGCTTATTGGTTTAAAACCAAAAAACTGAAACCATTAGCTTTCCAATTGGTTTGGTTTCGGTTAAAACCAAAAAACCAAAACCATATGGACAGCCCTAGTCGGAATCAAAGAAGAGGTGTTGTCGAACCTTCAAATCAGTAATATATGGGTTTCCCCCGTAATTCGGCTCTCCCGAGGTACTATAAACTTCTACTAGGTCATGGTCAGCATCGATTGTGAAATTGTGAAGAAGATAAGAATTTGGTGAAACCCGCAAGGGATTCTGGTGCCTCAAAGGGCGTTTATATACTCAAGCACAAGGGCTCACTGTACACTGCTAATCTTTGTTTAATCGTAATAAACAGAATAACAAACTATCTACCAAGAAGAATAACATAGCTATATATCTACAGTATAAATGGAAGTGGTAGACGCTTAAGAGAAACGGCTCCGGACTCAGCTCCTTTGTTGCTTCTGAGTAAAACGGTGACGTTCCACGAGCTCAACAAGTGTCCACCATGGTTCGAATCAAGTCAAGCTTCTCTTCTTGAGTTCTTGTAACATACTGTAATCACCTCCCTCAAGCTGACACATACATATTGTGTATGTTTAGCTTGGATAGTAAGAACTAAAGTCTGAAGATGCTGAGTCCCTTTGTAAAGAAGTCTGCAATTTGATTTTCTGTATCTAGATGACCCAGGCTGATAAGCATTGATTGTAGGAAATATTGAACCACGTGACAATCGATCTCTATATGTTTTGTTCTTTCATGGAACACTAGATTTTCAGCTATGTATATAGTAGATCGATTGTCACAATAGAGCTGTACAGGTTTAGGATGAGCAAACTGCAACTCCTGTAATATTCTTTTAACGAAAACAACTTCACAATTGAGCTGAGCAAGTGCTCTATACTCAGCCTCAGAGGAAGAAATGAGAAACAGTTCCCTGTTTCTTTTATTTCCAAATGATAAGGGATTTTCCATGAGAAATACAATAACCAGTTCTAGATCTTCTTGTATCTGGGCATGCTGCCCAGTCAGAATCAATATATACTTTAAGTCGAAAATCGGATTGAGTTGGATAGAGTAGACTCTGACCTGGTGCATTCTTTAAATTCTTAAATACGCAAATAATGCAATTTACCAACATTCCTTTTGTAAAGGCTAGAATCCTCAAGAAGTGGACCATCATCTGCAGTCAAGTGTGTCTTCATGTCAATGGGTGTCACTACTGGTTTGATCAGCAAAACAAGTGTCATTCAATAAGTCAATACAGTATTTACGTTGGCAAATATGCAAACCCTGCCTTGATGTGGCAATCTCTAAACCAAGGAAGTAGTGCAGATTGCCAAGATCACGAATTTTGAACCGAGTATGGAGAAAAGCTTTCAAACATCCATACTGAGAACATCACCCCTACAATGATGATGTCATCAACAAAAACAAGTAAAACTGAAATGCCTTGTGTCCCAATGTGAATAAACATGGAGTAATCACTATGAGACTGTGTGTAACCAAAGCTGATCAATGCTGAAGTTAACTTGGAAAACCAATGACGAGATTCATGTTTGAGTCCATATAAAGACTTTCTAAGTCTGCATACATGTCCTGGTTGAGTGAATCCCGGTGGTAAGTCCATGTATACCTCCTCTTCAAGGTCTCCACGGAGAAATGCATTGGACACATCCAACTGTGACATGCTCCGATTCTTGGCTGCTACAAGGGCAAAGAGAGTTTTGACTGAATTCAACTTAGCAACAGAGGAATATGTATCCAGGAAATTGATTCCATGGATTTGAGTAAACCCCGTTGCTACTAAACGTGCTTTATATCTCTCTACTGATCCATCTGGATTAAACTTGATGGTGAACACCCATCGATTTTCATTTGGTCTCTTTCTTTCATGACATGATACAACCTCCGAAGTCTTGTTAGCTATCAAAGCCTCAATTTCCAGATTCATGGCCTACCTCCATCATTCATCCTGCATAGCCTCCTCAAAAGCACTTGGTATCCAATGTGAATCCATAGCAAATACATACTTTCTATATCCCATTAACAGTTGATCATAGGATAAACAAGCAACCAATGGATAAACATGTTTGCTAGCATTAGTTTTCAAATTCAGGACATAATCATCATATTTGATAGGTTGGATAATTTGTCTTGGTTGTTTTCTCAGGGTTATAGGTAAAGTGTGGGAAGAGGAGGACTGCAGGTCTATGTTTGTAATAGGAGAAGGATATGGAGAAATGGTTTGGAGAGAGGATCCTTGTATTAGTTACAAGAGTTGATGGAAAAGGTGTGGAATGTGAGATTGGTATAGGGGAAAGTGAACAAAACTATGTTGAGGTAGATTCAGGGAATTCATGATCCGGTGGCAATTAAAGGGAATGATAGTAACTGGAAAGTTGGAAGGTGGAGTGATAGGCAAGTTAGAAGATGGTGATGTAATATCTGCTTCAGGAGAGGAAGAAGAAGAAGAAAGATATGAAGTAGTTTAAAGTGGTAGCAAGGAATGATGTGCTCATGAAACACAAAATGTCTAAAAATGATAATATTCTTATCTGTAAGATCAGAAAGTTTATAACCCTTAGTACCAGGTGGAAAACCAAGAAACACACAAGGTTTGACTCAAGGTGTAAACTTATTTCTATTATGCAAAAAATGCAAGGTATGGCATTGTTTCTAGATTCTCCACCACAAACACAATCAGGAATAGGCAAAAACTAAACTAGCTCCTCCCATAAACCCTTCATATCTGAATAGAATTGGTTAAGAAATCTATTACCTTGCTTCTGTGTATAAAGAGTTGTTTGCAGATCACTGATTCTGATGTTGTCTGCCTGTCCAAAACGTTACCTTCGATCTTCCCACAACATCCTTGCGTTATCCTGAGAAGAAACGCTGTGAACCAAGCCTGGATCTAAAGACCCCAAAATCATGAAATACACTGATGTGTTACTTTGTTCCCATGCTTCGAATCAAGTCAAGCTTCTCTTCTTTTGTTCTTGTAACATACTGTAATATCGATAGAGTCAGCATCATCGTAAGGATCATCCGCCCTGGCCGAACGCTAAAAGATTTCCCCATCAATGTGTGAATTGGAATCTCTTGTATAACTCCTAATGATAGGGCAAAAGCGTATAAGCCAATTTCCTATCTCGTAGTAAACCGGAAAGTCCGGGTATCGTCTCTCAGGGACTGGTACAACCTTAAGTTCTACCAATTTTTATAAAGCAAACTATATGTGAAAATGTTTAATGAGATGAAACTATGATCTACTAGCAAAGTAATTAAACAAAACAAGCAAATTAAAATGTCGGGTTTAATTCAATGGGAGAAAGCTCTGGGAGAAACACCGGGATTCACTACCTATCCTATCCAGATTAATTCACACATTCCAATCAATTTAATCCATATCTCTACAGCCAGGATATCACGAATGTGCTAG